ATTTCGTTTCATTTTGTCTTCAATATTTCAGCGTTTAAGCTTTAAAGTAGAATGTTTTATTAATATATTAGTGAAATACACAAAGAGAAATTCTTTCATAATAAAATATGGGATCTAAAGGGGATAACCCTAAAGCTCCCAATAAAAGAAAGCATACTTTTGTTCTTCAATATAAGCGTAACTTTATTATAAAAGTATATATATCTTGCTTTTCAAGAAATACCTAGGTCGAATCGTCTGTTTAGATTTACAATAACTTGCGATTTCGATAACAAAGGGATAACAGCGAACTCTGAATTATATAAGATTTAACGTAGTGTAATAAACAACAAAACATTAAACACAATGTAGTCTTGAAATTTATTCTATTTCCAGACATAAATTTATTTTATATTACATCATTGCATGCAACCAACATGTGCCTTAAATTTTTACCGACTCAAACAACAGTTCAAAAATTTCTCTAAATCATCGTTTACCTCTCAAATATCTGGTTTAAAATTCGTTGTAACAATATAAGAATTCTGTCCGAATCCCGATCCACAGTTCACAAAGCGCAGTGAAGTGTGAATTTGGGATTTCAGTTCCAGTCTGTAGATTTCCGAATGTCCTAAGACAAAATCTTATAGAACAATTAGTAATCAAATGAACCCTAACTTTCTTTATCCTCTTGCCATAAAAATGTAAATACTCTCTTAAGTTTGAAAACTTTAATTTTTTTTAGGCCAAGTATTGCACATAATGCCATTTAAATTATCGATTTTAGATTGAAAAAGTTGCAACACGGGCAGGAGTTGAATCGGCATCCATAGCGTTCCGTGCTATTGCTCTAACCAATTGAGCTACCGCGTCCTACACGTCATAGTCGAATTTCTTTAACTGATTGATACTTCTTCTCGCTAACTAATTTCAACGACTTTTTCAGCTTAAATTAGCAATTTTGGGCATAACACTTTTTTCGCGTAAATACCTCCTTTGGTCAACTATATATATTTGGGTTTGCAACTGCTACCCCTGACGTCGTCCTCGTCCCGTTCCCGTTCTTGCAACTTAATTTTAAAATATTGAAATATAACATTTCAAGAATGAAATATGACAGTGTCATACTTCATTTCTGGGTATCTTAAACCGCGTTCGCAGCGTACGCAACGGTAAACGCACAAGGATGCATAATTTACCAGATTTTTCCACATGTCCCGCTTTTTCACTCCTATTAGTCACAGCGCGATATTCTACCTTATAACCTTCCTCAGTAAATGATGTAACCAACACAAAAATATTTTTTCAATTCGAACAAGTACTTCCTGAGATTAGCGCGTTCAAACAAAACAACTCTTCAGGTTTATAGATTAGTAAAGATTAACGATCAAGTCCTTTGTAGATTGTAATGGAAATGTATTATTCCATCCTTTTTTCTATTAATCACCTCTTTGAATCATTAGGAACGGTTGTGTAGATAAACGCGAAATGTAAATGAAGCTAATCAAACTTTTATCGCCCAAGTTATTCGGAAGGGAGCTTTTATCTTCAATGTCCAAGTGTATTATGTATAAATCGACCGAATTTTATCAACGATCTTTTCGTACCTCTGCAGACTCTTTTTGATTATTGGTTTCTAACCGTTAGATATTAATCAATAGTGTCAAGTCACAGAAGTTGTCTATATAACCATATAGTTAATTACTAGAAATAGAAGGCGACTGGATCTGGTTATACGTTTTACGTGACACTAACTGTTCTATAACAGGTACATAACTCAATAATTATTTAGTAGATAGGAACACCCTAACTACTGTACCGTTTATTTTTTTCAACAACTATATTTTCTTAAATTTAAAGCGGTTCCTTGCGTTATGTTAAATAAATCTTACTATTCTTCTCCGATTGTTGATGTTTACAACTTACCACTGTTTTCATTTAAACTTCCGGTTTATAGAAGCTAAAAAACTATTATAACAATAATAATAATAATGTATGTTGCTTTTAAACGTTTTCTCGAGAACGATTTTTCAGGAGATTAAAGGTATTATTCGTATTTTAATTTAATTTATTTTTGTAGAAATTATATAGCAGCGTCAGAGCTGTTATTCATAGAAAGACCTATTTGGATGAGCGTTTGGCGTTCTTTGCCAAAATTTAGAATGGTTGACTGGAGTTGGAAGTTATCAAGAATATCAAATATTTATTATGTTCTAAGTAGCTACAAGAAGTATGTAAAGAGGGACACATGTTTTCTGTATGCAAACGTAATTACATTATCTTATTTTTAAGACAAAGCTGGTCAAATAAAACTTATCAAGGGCTTTATATGATTATATGATTGATATTTTTATAGTCTAAAAAATGTTAATAAATGTTTCCTTTATGTTTTTGTTAACAGGTCACTCTGCCACTATATGTTAGTCTCTTATCTATGTATGCAGTCTCATATGTATGTAAAGTAACCAACATTGTAATGAAACTTTAATAATTAATTTTTCAAAGCCATTACATTTACAAAGTTTGCATCTAAAAATAAAAGCATAAATGTTACCAATTCAACTTCGAAAACTCATGCGGGTACACTAACAAAGTGAGGAAAGTTTATAGCACATGACGTCACACTATTTTATTATTCATTTATTCTGTATAAAGAGTTTAGACTGATTAAGATTCCATTCTGCATAAAGATTGTATATATCCTGGTTAGTATTTGAACCCACGACAACAGCGTCATGTTCTATATAACTGAGCTTCGTGTCGTGACAAATCACAGATGATCTTTCGAGATCGTTTTATTTAAACTAGAAGATAACATACAATTGAAATTTACTATGTATAAAAATCCCTTCAAACTAAAATTAATAATAAGAATAATTAATTGAAATTTGATACACTACACTAACGCGTTACGTAACGAAGCTGTTTAGCAAAAAAAAATATAGATATCTGTTTGATCGCTTTTTTGTGCTTACAGAATAACTATTTTAAATAATTACAATTAAATTTATTTGAGTCGGGCTTGGTACTTGGCGGGAGTCCCGAGACTCACAATTATTTTTCTACTTTGAAAAGTTTAGACAATGAAAGTTGTATTAAGACAAACATGCTCCTTTCTCAAATAACGTAAACAATCCAGTTCTTTGTTGTTATGGTATATACTGAATAACTGTTTTATATTAAGAGATAGCTTAATTTTTAAAAATAGTATTTTAAATGATAGAAATATTAGGGGAGTACATTTTCCTAAACTGATTCAGGAATAAACAGTGTAAGGCCTAAATAATTAATATGCTATGAGTATATGAGTGAATTTTGATACAATTTTAAGAACAAGGGTAAAAATACTAGTTTGAAAGTGCATATTGTTTGTATTTTTAATGATAGAAAAGGTCAGACAAGCAAGGGAGTCACGGAATGGAAGGGAGCTAACTATATCCATATAACATCTAAACAAATTGCACTATCGACCTGGGTTGGCTTTGGATATTCGGAATTCCACAGGCCGAACCCGAAACGCGATTAAACTTTATATACTTCGGGATTTTCATCTATCATAGATCCGAATGGAATTTCGATATTGACCTCCATTAACATTCAAATTTTAAAAAAGATTTTGTAAAATATTTTGGAAAAATCGATTAGACACATGTTTGACCCGGTAGGAATCAAACTCACGCCTTAATTATTAGCGAAATATTGTCTTTTTCGGCTTTGAATATTCGCGAAATCCACAGTCTGAACCCTGACCACAAAGCGATTTAACTTGACGACTTTTTCGTCTGTGGACTGTGGTTTGTAACTCATATTCGTGGTTCGTGACTCGGATGCAATTTCTATATTCTTACCGTCCATTTTATATCCAGATTTCCAGATGAAGGTCAACGTGTTTTAGAAAAATTATAAATGATTTAGAAAAATCTTGGACTCGGCAGGGATAGTATCCACAATAATAATCAGAATTATTCCTACTAGTAACCAAGCTCGTCAAAATTAAATTTTATTAGCCATATTAATGAGGTAGTCTCGGCCCGGCCTAGATATCTACGATCGATGGCTAGGTGTATCATGTTACGTTTTCACGCAAAAGCGCTATTCGCAGCTACCATTTATTCTCATTAAAGTCTCATATAATACCGCAGTCCATTAGCAAATTAGATGTGCCGTATACTAGCAACTCCTGGTCTAGAAGCAATTGCAAAATGGACTGACGCGAAGTTTCTTACTGTCATACCACAGTTCCCAGAGTATAAATGTGGTTTAGGAAAAGGGGAACTTAGAAGTTTAAAGAGAGCGGGAGTATTTGAATTCATGTACGTATTTAAATAAAACATCTTTAACGGTTTAAAACGATAAATGTATTAGTTAAACGTATATGTATTGTAAATAAGTTGTTTTTGATCGAAAATTTCATTAAACTACTCGTGTAAACTTCATATAGATTGTGTATGACTTATTACGACATATTACAGCTGACCGGTAGTAATTTTTAATTTAAGATTAATTTAACAATGTGTATTTAAAAAGAGTATAGCTATTAAAATTTTAAGCATTGAATATCGATAAAGACGTTTTACAGTATTGTAGATATGTTACTTTTAAAGAGCGGTCTGAAAGTTTAAGCAATTTGTACCTAACTTAAATTGCACCTACTTAGTTAATGGCAGTTGTTAACTTTGCTTTTAACTTTCTTTCTCTGTTACAAAAGTTTGATAATTCATTTCAGGATAGTTGGTGCTCTTAATAGTTGAAGTACTAAACCTGAGTGGAACCACTGTACCCATTTATGAAGCGAAAACTACATGCAACGTTATTTGATTGTGACGATATGGAGCAACTTAATGCTGTAAGTATTTTTTTAAATAAATAGGTTTATAAAATTAATTTAAGATTAAAAAAACGGCATGATCAAGACTTAAACTCTGGCGTAAATTTTTTTTAATGTTAAAATAATATGAAAATTTAAAAATGAAAATAATTACTTATTTTATTGACACACGAAGCATATAAATTAAAAACAATTAAAAGATATCTAGTTTTTCCGAAGGCTCTGCCTCAATTTCTTTAACTATAACGGGCGGTGGAGGAGGTGGTGCTTTTCCTTCTTCATCCAATCGCAACTTATGAAGGTTAATAAAATCTTCATGAGCGTTCAACGCCTGTCTCCTTTCTTTCCCTTCGACTAACGTTGAGTCCCATGAAAACTTCGCTTGAAACGGATTTTCTCTAACTGTAGCAATAGAACTATTCTTAAGATATGTGTATTCTTCTAAGTAGGACTTTTTCAGATTATGTTTGTTGTCTGATAGCAAACTCTTCTTTACCTTTTCTTCCTTTTTTATTGCTTCTGGAAAAAGAATGGCAACAGTATCATTAAATATTGTTTTTTGCTTCTTCATAATTTCTAGCATTCTTCTCTCTTTTTCTAAGCGCTGAGCTTCTAATTCTCTTAAAGGTTTTTCCTGCTCAATCAATTCTGCTCTATTAATTCTTTTTTTTACTGCTATAGTTCTTTCGATGAGTCTTTGAATGATTTTCTGCCATCTTTCTTCTGGTCCCACTACTTTCATCTTTTCATGCCTTCGTGCCTCTGCTTCTTCTTCTAACCTCTTCTCTTCTTCCTCCCTCTCTCTACGCTTTTCATCCTCTTTAAGAGCTAACAGTTCACCCTCTTTTCTACGCATCTCTTGTAAAATTTGAGGATTATTTAACATCCATTCATCTTGCCACGCCATAAATGATTGCATAACTTTTAGTTCACGAATTATTGTCGCCTCCATTCTACCCGTGTAATTTGGATTTTCAATCATAAATATTGGAGGGTCTAAAAATAGCCTGAACGACCCATTTACGTCGCTTACCCCAATAATATTTTTAGCAAGAGGAAGTGTATGTAAACTTATACCAGTAAGCATATTACCCGATAAAGTTTGAATAGCTATAGGTTGATCGCTTCTCAGTAACAAATCCCAAGTCTCCAAATCACCCTCTGACGTTGTTACGAAAAACAGGCTTGGTTTGTATAATGACCACACACCAGCAGTTAATCGATATGGTCGTTTTTTCCATGTTAAAGGTTTACTAGATAATTTATCAGACCAAATCGCTAATATCTTACCACCGACTGTCAGAGTAATATGATTTATAAAAGGATTCTTTTGGGTCGAAGATATGATACCATCGTGTATACAACAGCTATACTTTATATCTGCATATTCTGAATTAACTACTTCTCCAGTATTGAATTCGTGTCCTTCCCAAGTTATTCTAATATGTTCACCGTGCTGGGAGCCACAATATAATATCGTATTATTGTCTGCTTCGCACTGCTTTACAATTTCTGATGTGAAATATTTTCTACCTGTTCCAGTATTGCGTGGAGTATTAATATATTTTATTACTGGTGCATTCATCCCAAAGCTCTGCACTGGTAAAGTTTGTGGTTGCCCGGCGGCGCCTAAAACTATTTTATAACAAGGTTGCAAAACACGATCTAATACCTTATAATCAGACACATCGACAAGGAGACCAGATGGTCTTTTAGGAACTCTTTTTGACTTTTTAACTTTCTTCCCTTCAAATTGAGTCACATTTTCTACGGATAAATTCCAAATTAATATGACACCATCATCTGATCCACTGAAAAACATTAAGGATTTTTTCTTATCATTGTTAAAAATGGATTTGCCAGTTGGTGTCACAGTGAAATTTGGTGACAGCCAATTAATTGAGGTAATAGGACCATAATGACTGGTGATCAGATTACTCAATGCAGTAGGTTGTACTACAGCATTATCCTGCACGTTTTTCATCCAACCCATGTGTGCATTCATTGCTATTCTGTATTTTTCCCTTTTTTCGCTTAATACTTCCATTCTTTCCACATTTTCCAGTTTATTAGTTAAATCCCATAATATTATTTGTCCGTTTATGCACCCTCCAATTAAAATATTCTCATTAAAGGGACAAAATGACAGTACTTTAACTTCTCTCGGAGATTCTAGAAAGAGCTTGGGTATTAAACTATCAATATGACTCCATATTAACACTGGGTTCAGTCCGTACACTGCTCTTTGTATCGGATCGGCTCTAGAACTAACCGTTTTTATCACTGTAGGAGATCCATCAGAATAGCCAATAGCGACTATTCCAGACCACATAGGATGGAACACAGCACATGAAACGTACTTATCTTTAGCTCTGACGTCAGTAAAACAAACGTATTCTTCGAATGTCATAGTATCATAAACATCAACTGCTTGTTCTGACATTAATTTTGGATAGTCGTTACAATACATATCCATTACTGTATTGAGTTCGACCATAGAAATAATTTCGTTATTTATTGTGGTCATGAAATTATTTATTTTCTTAATATAGGATGGTCGTCTCATTCTTAAAAGAGCATTTTTATATGCTTGTAGCCCTACCTCATCTGTGGTTCCTTCAACTTCTTCCTCTTCCTCATCTGAACTGCCAGGTCCCTTATCTTCTGTCATCTCTACATTTTCAATTCCGGTATCGCCTCCAGCCTCTTTATCATCTACTTTGCCAAGAGCATCTGCTATTGATTGAGTCCACATATTTTGCGGATACTTGAGAACAGTCTGAGCATAACTGTGCATAGTTGGAGGTGCAGCTTGTGACCCACAATCTACTCTGCGCCGAAAAACATTATTAAATTTTTGTCTATAAGGTGTCAGCTCTATGTAACCATCACGACTTGCATTTGTGTCCCTTACTTTAAGATGTTTTGGTTCATAATACTTCGGAAATTTAACACGTATTTCCATCTCCATTAAAGGCCGAGAATTGATCGGTATTAACTCCTTAATTTCAATTTCACTTCCTAAACTCTTCCAAGGTCTCGGTTTTTTCTGGACAGCTTTTTCTAATTTCTTCTCTTGTCGTTTTATAAATCTGTCTGATTGTTGCTTACAATGATCTCTGGCTTCATTAGTGCAACAAATATAAAATTCGTCAACGTCTTTTGATTCGTCAACTATATACCCCATTAAAATATCATTATCCGGGTACACCTCTATCTGCGCTTTTAATGCAAAGAATTCTGATAATTCTCCTCCTACATCTATGGTTTCCATAATTTTCACTTTACTTACAGCTTTCCATGGAAACTGAGCGTTAACATGCGTACCAATTACCATTTCTACTTGAATTTGCGTATCTTCCCCCAGAGCCACTTTGTACACGCCTTCTACGTCGTATTTTGGAATAAATCGCTTTCTTCGAGGCAAAGGCTGTTGAGTAGCCATTTGGCTATCTTTATCTCCTCCTATTAATAAAGAAAGAACTAAATTATATCTAAAATACAGTGTTAAATAATCTTTTTGGAAGTAAAAATATTGTATTGTAATATTTACTTATATGTCAAGATAAATTGACAGATTTTGAGAATATTTGTTTTTTGTGTAATTACAATTATTAAAGAGGTTGAAGTGATTTATTTATTCTTCTCATTAAAATTTAGATATTTGAGTGCAAAAATAGATGATATAATTAATAAGCCTGTTTCACGGTTTAATACATCCATGTAACAAAAGTACCCTTTGCCTCGGGGGAGAGTTTTGAAGAATCAAAACCTTCTTCATAGTCGCTGGAGTCTGTTGAAACTTGAGTTTGTACAACTTTTGTCTTTGACAAGTCTTCATCTTCACTGCTTAAATTGCTCATTATTATGTTATAAAAACCTGTACACTTATTTGTAACTTTACTATCCGTAAAGGAGCACTATATACTTTACTTACAGCTTAATTTTAAAAGCCTATCAAACAACTTACTTGCTTTATTTAGTAACATCCCTACATTTACAAAGTGGTAAACATCGACTTATTACACGCATGCGTCAATTTTATGGTACTGCCTGGTACGAAACAGGGGTCGAAATTCGGAAAGTAAGAACACTACTTTAATTAAAAACACCTTACCTTGACAGATTTTCAATAAGAAAAAATGTTTCTTACAACTGCAGACTTGACGATTTCTTTTAAGAAGGTGTGTGCTTATTTTATTTAACATCGCTGTATTTATTAAACAATCTTCAGACACACGTATGTATAAAGATATTTCGCACTTATTAAGGAAATAATCAGCTAAAGTACAAACATAAAAAGGATCTTGACAAAGTAATGTTAAATGTCCAAAAAACAAAAGAAAATCGTGACTTGCGATTTATTCTTCAATTTGGCTTTGTATTATGATGGCTGGATGGTTCCCTGACTTCGGTGTGACAGAGGCGTAAGTTATGAAATAAGAAATGGAATTGTTTCATAAATAAATCAATATGCGCCATAGAAAATATAGTCAAAGAAAAAATATTGAAGCCTTTATTTTGCTTACAAACTTAAATTTTGTAATATTCATAAAACAGAATTCTTATAACTTCTTATATAAATGTAGAGTTATTTTACTTACTACGTTATAATATTATATAGTCGTACTTATGTAATTCCATTCTTATTATGGTTTAAGAGTTATATGTCGTGAAAGATTTACAAAAACGCTTATATAGATAAAACTACATTTATTAATCACTACAATTGACTCCTCACGAATGTAACTCTTAAACTCTAAAGCTATGCAATACGAAATTTCACTGTTTATAGATCAAGTCAAACCTAAAATAGCAAGTTGATGTCATAATGACATCGATATGGTTGGGATGAACCTTCCATTAATCCCATACTTGTCTGTCTCATGCTCTATTATAAAAAATATCGACATTTAAATAAAACACTTTAACGGTTTAAAACGCGTTATATTAGTTAAACTTATTTGAAAACTTTTTAACTTCGGCCCGACGTTTCGGATGCTTTGCAGCCATGATATGGGGTTAAGTCTCCCGACTTAACTAAATAAGTTTATCTAATATAACGCTTTTTAAACCGTTAAAGTGTTTTATTTAAATGTGTACTACTCGCGTAAACTATAGACAGTAAATATCGACATTTTCAGACATCGTTATCCCAACGCAAGGAATCCATGGCTCCTTTGACGTCGGTAAATGAAGGCCCGACATTTAATTACCCATTTGGTTACCCACTAGCTGTGGTCTTGAGATTACGAGTCCTACAGGTAAGAACTTTTAATCATTTAAATGAAACGCAAATATATTAGTTAATTCATTTAACATTGATTTTCATTTAATGGGATATGTTCCTAATATTCTGTTCTATAGTTTTTTTTTACTGACTGTATGCTGATAATCATGTGAAGGATGTAGTTTGCTAAGTGACGGCGTAAAGCCTTAAAAACGAACACACTTTATCATTTATAATTAAGAGTATGGCCTAACTTATTATTACAATATGTTTTAAGTCAACGCTTCCATGAAAGTCTAAATAAACAGTCGAAAATCTTTTCATTGACATTGTGAACAAAGAAAAACATTCGAGTGATTGCGAAACTTATTATTCATGTTATTTAAACTTAGACAGAATTCTTATTTCTCCACGAAAATCACAGTTACTGTCTTTGAAACGAAAGTAATTGTGGCTTTAAGCTGACTTTCGGAGAAACGATGAACCCTCGAAATTTTAAGAATTATCAGCGGCTACTTTTTAATTTGCTTTCGTGAGCGCGTCTTTGAATATTTGCCTTGTAATGTTTCTCAGTGAATATCGTATGAACGTATTAATCAAGTTTATTACAGGCAATAAGTTCACTGTACATATATTAAGTAAGAAATTTGAAGAAGCTTGGTACGCCACTTACGTGAATGTGTGGGGATACATTTCACTAATAACTCATGATTTATCATAAAAAGACACATTAGAATACATTGTAGATAATAAAACGTATTTTATATATTTATTTATAGTGAAGGAGCTAAATGATCGAACATTGGATATTGGATAGTTGACACCAGACCCTAACATTTTAGTAACGTCATGACGTCCCCACTTTATTAACCACAACAAAGTCTATAATTAACTATAGGTCCCCGTTTGAACTTAATCAAAGGGTTTTCTAATATATCCCGGTAATCGAGTCTTTGTACATAGTTAAAACTTATCACATAATGGAGCTAAGTCATATTGTTTGATCGTCACTCAATTGTTTTACTTTGCAACTAATAAAGTAAATTGTTTTGTTCTACTTTACATTGTGTGAAATTCCATTTCCTCTAAGTGGGTAATACCTGTAAGCGTCATTTTCGGCAAGTAATCTGTGTTCATCAGAAATCTGTGGCCAGCTCGAGCGAAACTATTTTGCATCCTTTATCACATCATCTTTTATCAAATTACTAGGACGAATAACTCTCTTTAGGAAATAAATCAAAATTGTTTCACGTTTTTTATGTTTCACTTCATTATATTCATATTAAATACAACTTAAGATTATCACATATGCACGTTCTATGCAAACAAATAAGTTACATAACGCTTGGTAAAATTCCAACTCGAAACCCCATTATGATCGCATTATAAAATCAATTGTTCAATGGAGATTGCCGAATAATGCAAAAAAAAAACAATTAATAAAAAATTAAGTTGGTTGTAAGTAGATTTAATTTTATTTAAGAAAAAAAATATAGTTAACACTTCAAAAAAAAGGTTTCTCTTTTTTCACGTTCTTCATATTATATTTAAATTGTTTTTATGTTTAGACGTTATAATTTCGAGGCTCGCAAAATGCGGTCTTGGGTTCGACTATAGAAAGATGTGATAAAATATTTATCAGAGTTACTAAATGTCAAAATAATAGCAAAACCGTTGTGCAAATGTGCTGGCCCCATACCCCGAGCTCCACGTAGGAGAAATGAGACTTTTTATTGAATGTTAAGAATTATACTAACATACTTTTATTTTGTACCCTGACCATTAACCAAATAATGCTATACCATTAAAGTTCTATAATTTCGTTCCCGGAATAAAGTTTATGTAAAGATATTATCCAAGATATTTTTCGCTTTCTTACACAATAGACGGATAGGGGCATTAAAGAAAGGATTCGGGAATGGTATGATATATTTGGGTAGATGTGATTAATGGTAAAACGAATTCCAACAGATAGTTTGGGAACTAAAAGCTTATATGTCTACTATAGATATCATATCCACTAATATTGAACTTAAACATCTCTGTTATATGCAAGTAATATTAAATTGCAGTTCTTGTACGTCTGAAGTAAGCCGTACGTGGTTTATCTGTAGCCGAGTTTTGACCGATGATTGTGATGTTTGTTAAATGAGTTTAAGAAACAGACGCGCGCTTCCCGTCGTTATGCAAGTTAATCTTAACATATAGACATATACTGCCGCGGACAGGTTTTAAGATCATTTAAGGAAAAATGATTCTTTCTTACACATTTTTTGCGTATCTTGAACCTTTTTCGTAGCGCACATATCGGAAGCCCTCAAAGATGAAAAATTTTCCCCATTTTTCGCCCCTATTGGTTGCAGCATGCTGATTTATAGCGATAAAAGCTCTAACCAACACAAAAAGAATTATTCGAACCAAAATTCCTGAGCTCTGTTCTCTATTTAGCTTAATAATATAGGTTGATTTTATATTTGAGTTGAGACGCAATCTCTTCTTCTCGACAGGTTCATAAATTTTAGGACACTTCGATCGAAACTGTAGTCTTAATAAAGTCGCGTCCATTGTTTGGGCGTTACATTTAATATTCATAGCACATACACGAATAAAACAGTGCCCCGAAAAAGGTTAATACCGATTGCTATAGCTAAATTTGTATATTAATTGCTTCGTGTACGAAGAGTGCTTTTTAATTTAATTGTTCGTTATTTTAAGTATTATTGTGTTATTTACAATATTATGTTGTAAATTGACAAAAAAATATTCAGAGTTTGTCTTATGTAAAGTGCACTAGTGTTTAAGTTATTTATTTTGTATTTACGTTCATAATATAAGAATAATAAGAAATCATTTTAAATAAATAACATTTTAGAAACACAAAGAAATATATAGTTAATCAACATATTATAAGACATTACTTGAGTATTTTTATGAATCAACTAATAAACATCTAGTGTCTGAGACATTTTTTAGATCATTTAAATTCCTTCTTTTACTTCAATTTTACATAATATACATACTTTATTTTGCTATCTCAAAACGATTTCGCAGCGAACGCAACGGACACCCATGTGAATGAATATTATGATGATTAATAACTTTTCCCGTTTTTTTTTTCATATTTTCCGCAGTTTTTTCGCTCCAGTTAGTCGCAGCGCGATGGTTTATAGCCGGTAGCCTTCCTTGATAAATGCTCAAATCAACAGAAAAAAAAAACAATTCGAACCGATACTTCATAAGATTAGCTCAAAGAAACAAACAAAGACTTAAGCTTTATATATTAGTATAGACTATAGATTATAAAATAAAATAATAAAAACACAATTCAATAAAATTAAATGAATGTGACGCCGAAAAGATTCTTAGATATCTCACGATCCAGTATGTTGATTTTTAGCATCTCCTAGATCTTGTTTGTTAGACGCACATATCGTAAGTTATAATTGTATTGTATTGATTGTTACGTTGTAGATCGTTTGCGGTATTTCGAAAATAGTTATGGGAAGCGTCGCCTTCATCGAGGAACGTCAGAAACTAAACATGGGACTTGGAATACCCGCAGGCAGTTTCAGCGTTCTGGCAGCAGGTACGTTTCTTGTTTCTCTGAAGGCATAGAAAGGTTAATAGGGACTATGTTTTATAAGTTGACTGAAAAGGGTCCACAGTACACAATTAACCCGCGGCGATTAAGTTTTCTAATCCTTAAAAACATTAGAAAAGGGTTTAGTCCATTAAAACGTGAATTTCAGTTCATGATTTGTATCTTGCCTGGGTCAGATCTACATCTGTTTCACTTATCGATTTTTTTAAATAAGTATTTATAAGAAAGACTTATAATGATTTAAAACGCGAAACATACTAGTTGTTTTTTTCATCTAATTGAACTACGGCCCGACGATTCGGATGTTTTGCTCCGTGACCACGGTAGCTGTTAGTTAGGCAAAATAATTCGCGTTTTAAACCGTTAAGTGTTTTATTTGAATGTGTAGTAATACACATTCAAACGCGTAAACTACTGACAATACTTAGAATAATAATGGCAATAATTAAAATTCAATAACAGGCCTGAATGAAACTCTTGATATTTTTGTGCTTTGATCCGATGCGGCTATTTTAAGATGATATGAATTTTGAAACACTAGTTAATATTTAAGATTTAAATAAACAGAATATATGTGCAAGGCAAATAAAATAAAAGTAACATTGTTGCGACTAACTTAATTGTGTGTCTCGTTGTAGCAATGTCGATACATACAACACGCGGTTGGGGCACAGCTACAAGCGGCGCGGTAAGCGTTACTGCGGCCGCTCTGCTTTGGACGATTTCAGCTTGCATGCTACTCGCGCTGATTGTTCAATGTCTACGTACCATTGTAGATATACCAGAACAAACTGAGGAGTAAGTAACATTCCAATATTTTTAACTGGTATCATTTTCTACAATGTGAGAATGATAATTATTAAGATTAAGTTCTTAAAACCACTTATTAAACTAGTAATTATACTCTCTTTTTCTCCCATGTTTTATTAAAAGTTCATCAGCATCACATGTTGGTATTACAAGATTTATATATATTTTTGTATTCACATTCACTCGACGTAACGTGATATACCCCAGCCATATCACATCTAAACAAGATACGCTGTCGAGCTATTTTGGCTTTAGATATTCGAATTCATAATCATAAGTACGTATACCTGGTTTTACTGTTTCAGTGCCGATTCTATAGAAGAAAACTTAACGTCGTCACGTGACTTAATAGTCATTGCTTGCGTACAAATCGCTCTGGCGCTGATTACTTTACTGAGTGCATTGGTATGTGCGCGGATAGATTTCAAAACTTGACGCGAGCCGTCGGGGCCGCTTACGCGCAGACGCGTCAGCGAAGCGCCAGCGGTTGCCACTTCGTCCGCACCCGTAGTGCAAACTTCTATAATGGAACGAGAAAAGCGAGTTGCCTGGCTGACGTAAACAAAGTCCATTGTATCTATTTATCTACCGCATTCAACAAAGAAACAATATTTATTTCTAACTTGAAGAGAATCAAGTGAAAATTATTATTGGACCAACATTTAAATTAATTTATGTTATGCCTGTGGAATTATCTAGGGAATCATAAGCCTTTGAGTTGGCATCAGAAGCACAAAAGTTATACCTTCATAATAATTCATATCGTGTCGACTGAGAGACTGTTATAATTAAATTAGATGTTAAGCTACACAGTCCATACTTTTGTTACTGCTCATATTTATATGCAAATTTTGTCCTGTAAAGATATATGAAAGGTTAAGTGTTGAATTAGCTTTTAGGTCAATTTATAGTTGTGTTTACGTAATTCATTTTGTAAATGATAATTATGTTATTGGATAAGTAAACAAATGTACACAAAACTGGATAAGTAGTTTAAGCGCTGTGTGAAAATAAATGTAACGATTTAAATAAATGTTTTTTTACCTACACTTCCTTATAATATCCAAGATACAAGAGATGAAATATACGAATAGTATAGCTTATTATATTTCTAAGTGGGGGACACGTTAAGGAAGTGGGGCTCAAATTTCAGGATGTCCGTATTGAGATCCTTCAGTGACCGTAATAAAAAGAAAACGTTCAAGCACTTCTCCATCAACGTTCAAGCATGTTACTCTGTTAAAAAAATAAAGCCATCAAAGTTGTGATAGAATTTATGCAGAGATAATTTTATTATGTAGCATGTAGCAGCAAATAAGCAGTGCCTGTAGTTTACACGAGTGATACACATTTAAATAAAGCGCTTATAATAAGACAATACACGGTATAAGACAATTAAAAACTATTCTTATCATAATTTCTCTTTTTAGATCATTGACAAATGATTTTTAACGGCTTAAAACGCTAAATTCATTAGTTTTAAACGGGGAGACTCGCCGTGACCACGGCCGCTACAAACAACTTAAAACGCCCCTCCGTAAATAAAATATTTTTCAATTAAGTTTAACTAATAAATATGGCCTATATCCAATACGTCGGTCCGTATTTAAAATAAATCGAACATAGAATCGTTACTTCGCGTTATAAACCGTTATAATGTCTTTAACTTGAATGTCATGTACATGTTAGAAAAAAATGGTTTAACAGGTCGAATTTTTTATTCCTTATTAAAAAAAAACATTACTCATTTATTTCAAAAGTAATTGTTATAGTTTGAAAATCTAAAATCAAGTGAGAAAATTCAAAATACTTAGTCGGAGATTCCTAGTTAGTAAAATGTCTAACATTTTCCCGAGATAATTAACACCGCAGAAACTGTTATAAGTTAGCGAAGTAGCTCATTAACAAAATGTCAACGTTTCTGTAAAGTTACCCCACCAGACCCTTCTTATACTTGCATTATGTATGTTATAATTATACAAGATATAACAATGAATATTGCCTGGCTACGTTTTCTTTTATGAATAGGGTACACGTTAAAGCGGTTATTAATAATACAATTTTTAAACTGAAGTTACTGAAATGGGAAGGATAATTCTACAATATTCGCGCCCGGCTAAAATGGTAAACAAACAACAAAACAAAATCATCGACGAATAAGGTTGGTATACTCTCTTCAGGGTTTCAACTTTTTTATAACTAATTTAAGTTTCAGATTACATACTTAAAAAAAAAAACAAATAATCAATACAATATGAAATTATTATTATATTAAGTTATGACGTAAATTTATTTAATGTGGAGAGCACCGCTTTAGCTTAGGTAATCGAGCTTAGAAAATTAATAGGAACATAATCATCATAATAAGTAAGTAAAGGTGATTATAATTCATCAAGGCCGAGTCACATAATGTTATGTAATTTACTATAGGTGCAATGGTAGTATATCCATCACAAAGCCCTTGACATCAGTCTCACATCTCCTAACATCGCTGTATCTGGTGTCATTTGCCAAAGCAATACATCACTGTTCGACAGACAAACTCAGTTACAATGTACGACATTTTATATACCAGATTAATTTTTATTTATATTTTACCAGAAATACGATTTTTTATTGCAAACTGGCTCTTTCTTAAATGAATTTATTTTAAATTTAATTTCTCTTTTCTAATAAGATTTATTCTATGCATAAAGATTTAAAAACCTTAAACGTTTATCTATTATACTAATAAAGGAAACATTTGTCTATCCATTTTGATAAATTTTATATAAAAAGTTACGAGTTAAACACACATTTTAAAACAGTTCTTTCGCTCGTCGCGATTTATCGTCGTCGTAGCGTGTCAATGTGATTCTATATTAAATTCAACGCTGCGATAAATTTATCACGACGCGCTTAGATTCTCTCATTAAAATAAATACACCTTGACCCTTAATTAGGCTGAAGTAATTTTATACCTAAAGGTCGTAAGTTGAAAATATTGAAATTAAAAGTAAAATACACTGTATAGTTTTTAATTAAAGCCTGGAAGAGATCGCTTATAGCGATAAGGCACAGGTACACTATAGTTTTAAATTGCATAGTATCTGTAAGTTCTGTTTGGTGTTACTAAGTGTGAAATAAAAAAAATAAATCAAATTTTCCTTTCCGAATGACGAGGAAATACATTTGTATCTGTTTTTACTATAAGTATTTATAATAATTTTTCCGTAATTTCAGCAGAGGAACTCCCCTGATTAAGATAATTCTACGCTTGACTATTAGATCAAAGAGAACGAGCTGCTTGTGTGAGTTTTCAGCCTCTTAGATAACTTTTTTGTTTAGAGTAATAATAGCTTTTCTTTTAGTAACATGTCGTAATACCTATACTTCAAAATAGAAAATCAATAAACAACATCATAAAAGTCGCTTTAATATGTTATATCGATATTAATATAAAACCAATGACAGGGTAGATGAAAGGCTCCGAAATTCCAATTACAAATCGACATATTGAACGGAATCCCAGATTGAATTATTTTCTCTGGCTTTGAAGGACGAGATTAAAAGTAATGGAAAACATTACATTGTCATAAGATGAAATATATTTGAGTAGGGTTTTCCCTGTGATCGGTCTCTATCTTATCTATAATTGTGTAGAAAATTACAAATGAGTCTCCTTGTGGATAAAGGACTTCCGGTCTAATTAAACAATTCTTACTATCGTTAACTTGACAGTGAGGTGGGTATGGTAAGAGACTTCAATATTAATATTGTAAGTGAAAATAAAGAAAACTTAAATTTATGATAGACTATAAAACATAATAATATATATAATCCAAATATTTACATTATTGTTATTAGGTACTACTTATATATCTTTATATAAAGCTGAAGAGTTTGTTTGTTTGAACGATCTCAAAAATCTTGGTTCGAATTGAAAAATTATATTTTGTGTTGGTTGACCCTTTATCGAGGAAGGCTATAACATCATGACTTATGACAGACTTAGAAAAGGACTGAGAAAACGAGAAAAAATAGTTATCTTTGTGGGTATCCGATGCATACGCTTCGGCAACGTCAAGATACCGAAAAATATAAATGAAAGAATGATTCGTCCTTAAAAGAACTAGAAAATGTCCGTGACAATAGGAATATTTGTATCTTTTAAGATTAACTTGCAAAAACGCCGGGACACAACCGACGTCGTGGGTAACAGCTTAAATGTATATAGGTGAACAGGAGATATGCAAAAATCTAATTATGATGACCAAAATAACTCTTCTACGCGGGTGAAGGCGACAGTTAAAGTAATAGTAATAAAGTATTTATTCAGGAACTATTATACATTAAACTGTTTTTGATCTGGAAACCCTTTTAAGTAAATAATACCTGTGCCAGGGTTTCCAGCTCTTCCATATCATTTAATAATACAATATTCCATGTCCCTAAATAATTAAACATGCTTTTTTTAAATAATATTGGTGTGTGTGTGTTATAAGTATGTGAGTTGATGTGATGTGTGACTTGATGTGTATTGGTGTGTGAGAAAGTGATTGATGATGAGGATGTGAAGTTATGTAGTTATGTATATACTTGTTAGCAAGCAGCAACATAGGGAGAGTTTCATAATTAAATGACCCTAAATAAGAATAAGCGTTAGAAAGCGTTTTAATTTTGTATACGGTCAAGAGCATTTTTTAATGAGATAATGTCTTTATCGGAAAATTAACTTAAATTCCTTTGTTTTTAAACACAGTCTGTAGTTTACGCGAGTAGTACACATTTAGATAAAATACTTTGACGGTTTAAAACGCGATTTATTTTAGTTAAACGTGTTTTAAAATGATTTTTACTACGGCCCGACGTTTTGGATGCTTAAAGAGATGAGTCTCCCCGTGACCGCGGCTGCTGCAAAGCATTCGAAACGTTGGGTCGTATTTTCAAACAAGTTTAACTAAAATATATCGCGTTTTAAACCATTAAAGGTTTTTTTAATCCTTTGTTCTTGATCAGCCATCTACGCCTTTTTGATATTATAATGTATGACTAATTTTCCATTTTAATGTCTAACTTCCATTGGAAATCTGTATATTAAACAATTGGTAGGAATATAGAAATTCCCTCCAGGACACGGACCACCGTCCTCGAAAAGCCGTGTAGCTTAATCGCATTGCGGTTTCAGTCTATGAATTTCCGAATATCCAAAGCCAAAATAGGATTATTAAAAAATATATAGAGTCTATAAATTGAATTGATATTATTTATAAAAAAAATATATTAATAGTAACCTAGTTTTCCCAAAGCCAGACTTGAATGGTACTTATCTACTTAATAAATAACCTTTCAAGCTTTGCCACATTCGGCTTCGATATTTGCTTAGTAAAGTTAGCCGGAAACCATGAAAGTAGGTCAACCATTGCAAATTCGATTCCTGGTTTTTATACTAATGAATTCAACACTTGTTTTATGCCACATACGTATAAAGTGATATACAGCCTACAAACAAATATTTTTTTTACGAAGTTGCGATAAGTATCTAATAAAAACCTATTATTTATATACAACACTTTTAACTGGTTAACGTAAGGAATATATTTATTTATTTCATTAAAAACATATTCTACAATTACAGAAACACATTCCATTGCGATAGACTTATTATATATATGTATATGTATATTTCAGAGTGATGTTTTTGTCAATGTGTTCACGAAACGTTACGTCATTCGTGAATAAGACGCCTAGATCCCGAATTCGAGTCTCTATTCGTTTGCGGGTATGTCAGTTAACTCATTTACAAATAAAAAAATAATACATCCCAAACGATTGAGACGAGAGGACACCGTGATTCAGTTTTGTAAGACAGATTGCGCTAGCGTAGATTTGATTTTGACATTAGTGACACCCTTTATCTTTCGTTCGTCCCGTGACCACAGCTGCTACAAAGGGCTAAAATAAATTGTTAAAAAGTTACCTTAAATATTTCGTGTTTTAAACCGATAAATGTGTGATTTAAATGTGTAATTTGCGTAAATTACTTAACTATTTAATTTAAAAATCGAAAATAAATTGAAAAAATTTTTGACTCGGGCAGGAATTCAACCGGCATCGTTAGCGTTAGATAAAAGTATATAAGTAACAATATAAAGGTGATGTTGTGACTAGTCATGCTAGTTTTGTACAAAGTTAAGATGTTAAGATCTCACTTTTACAGACATTTTAAATGGATGAATATTCATGTCAGTATCTACAACTAAGAAAAGTAAACGGGTATAATTTAAGTTATATATTATTCATTATTATTAAAATAAGAGGCAATAACAACGTTCTAGAAGAAATTTGCATTTCAAAGCATTATCCTTCGTTTTTTAACTAATTACCTACGTCTAGTTTGATGACTACGGATATTATTTAATTTTTAAAACGTCAATAATGTAAATATATTTTAAATACTACTACGAGCCACCGTCCACAGATGAAAGAGCCGTGAAGTTTAATTGCATTTCGGGTTTAGTCAGTTAGGCTAGGAATTCCCTCTCTGTCTCCATCATAAAAAAGAAAAAACAAGACTCCAAAGTGAACCAAGGAGCGCTTTACATAAATTAAAATGTATACTTTCATAGTTAGTAATATTGTACATTGTATGAATTCAATAATATGATTGGTGCCAACTCGTATTGAATAAGTCAATATTTAATTTATCTTCATACATGTCCAGCTAATTATTAGGATTAGGTACATCATAGGTATCATATATATAACTGGCGGTGAAGTCCCAATCCGACACACACTTGGCCGTCCCTCATCCAATATTTAATTAAGCACTTAAATATATTCAACATAATATTTATGAAGATTTAATTCCAAAATGTCTACAAAGCGTTAATTGATAAAAATCACACAAAAGTTCAAGTCCGAGTCGAATTTTTTTTCAATTTTTTCCGATTGTTAAATTAAAAATCACACAGTTTAAGTAATGAAGCAAATACATATATAAAACGAAACAAAATGTCTAATTCGATTCAAACTTCAAATCATATTACACATGGGTTATAAAGATGAACCACAGTGTCTCTATTTGCCTTTGAATCATGTAGAAGGCCGTTACAAATGTTTGTCAATAACGTTCTATAAACTCGGAGACTCAGAATAAATTGAAACGTGATCAATGAATAGACAACAATTTGTTTAAATCAGTTACAGTACGTTACTTCTTGTGAGAAGTTATTTTTGACTCAGTATTTTAATTATCGTTAGTCCATGGTAAGAAATCTAATTTTGTAAAGCATTTAAACGTATAATGAGTGTGTTTTTAAAAGGCACAGCGCAGTATAGACCGGTAGAAAACAGTACTAAATATACACTTTTATATGAGTTACCTTTTTAAACAATTCACTGGAGACGATACTTAACTTAAAGAAATAACTTAAGATAGTGTTTATGTGTTAAAATTGATTTTTTCTTGGCCCAAGAGCTGCATTTATAAAACCGAAGAGGATGGACGGAACCCGGTAGCAATAGTCGTGGATTCACGTTTCATTCGTGTCGTATTATGTTCTATAAAAATAATTTTAAAAAGTTATTTTTAAAATTCATCGAATGGTAACATAAATATTGGTAAAATAAAATATGGATATTTAAGTTTTACTCCGCTATGATGAAGCTTATATCAAATGGATTATAAGTCAATACACTGCCTTTACGCTACATCCTGTTTCTACGGACTTGAGTATTTATTGAAATGTATTCAAACTTGTTTTCTGTCTCCGACTTACGATTACAAAGATTGCGCGATCTTTCAGATCAGTACGTCTAGTGAACATATGGAAATAATATGTAATAAAAGATATTCTATAATTTTAAAGTGCCGCACAATGACTATATAATAAGTGACATTTTAAGAAATATCAAGTGTATTAAACGTAAAAATGACTAGCGACTATGTGGATTTTGATGTCTTGCTCTCCGCTGCAGGTGAAATGGGGACATATCAGTTCTACATAGCTTTCGCGCTGTTTCCCTTCTATACGTTCGTTGTGTTCGTGTACTTTAACCAGATTTTCTTAACCGAAGTGTCTCCGAATCATTGGTGCTGGGTTCCTGAGTTAGAAAACCTTACGCAAATAGAGAGACGGAACTTAGTGGCCCCTCCGGACTCATCTCGATTTGGATATTCCAGGTGTGAGACGTATGACATAGATTGGAATGCAGGAAGAGAGCAATGGAACAGTTCTTTACGAAGAATCCCGTGTCAACATGGATGGGAATTCAACAGAAGCGAAATACCCTATGCCACGATCACTAGTGACTTGGGATGGGTTTGCGATAAGGACAGCTACCCCGCTACTGCACAAGCTATTTATTTTGTTGGATCCATCATCGGCAGCTTGATAATTGGTTTCTGGGCTGATCGCTACGGACGTTTAAGTGCAGCGATGATAAGCACTTTGATGGGGGGTATTTTCGGCGCTCTCACCGTCTTCTCTACGAATATCTATAATTTTTCAATATACAGAATGTTCACTGGCGCTGCATACGACTCCTGTAGGATCATGGCGTATCTTATATCCTTAGAATTTATAGTGCCTAAATACAGAAGCGCAGTGTCGAATGTAACGTTTGGAGTGTTCTACTGTTTAGCGCTTGTAGCGATGCCCTGGATAACGTTAGCTTGCGATCACTGGAAGACAACTGCATTGGTGACATCCCTCCCTCTATTATTAGTGGTATTCGCCCCGCTGTTTCTCCCAGAAAGCCCAAAGTGGTTGCTGTCTAAGGGTAGAGTTGACGACGCGGTCAAAAAAGCGCTAAGAGTCGCCGACGTAAACAAAAAGGTCATACCCCAAGACCTTATAGAAAAGTTTAAGTCTACCGCTTCTCACTGTGAAGAAGCGAAGGGTGTTAGCATTTTAGAGGTACTAAAGAGACCATACCTCAGGAGTGTGTTCCTAATAATCTGCCTCCAGTATACACTCGTGGCTGTCACGTTTGACGCAATGTTTCGGACTATTAACTTGTTGGATTACGATTTCTTTATTTCCTTCACAATAATATCGGCCACTGAACTTCCTTCTTCGTTGGTCATCGGTTTTATTATGGACGTATTTGGAAGACGAGTGCTACTTTTCATTTTGTTAGTACTTACCACGATATTCGGTGTGATGACCACGTGTTTCTCAGGATGGCAATCCGTGGCTTGCGCCGTATCTATGCGATTTGTCGTGAACATGGCGTACAACATATCAATTCAGTGGGTTCCAGAAATACTGCCTGCAGCTGTCAGAGCGTCCGGAGTAAATATAGCCCACATATGTAGTTCCATCGGTATGATAGTGTCGCCTTACATAGTCTATTCGGAAATTTACTATCCTTCCTTGCCCCTGTTGATTTTATCCGCGCTTTCTTTAATAGCTGCCTCGACTGCGTTATTTCTACCGGAAACTGCAAACAAAGTAATGCCACAAACCTTTGATGATGCCGAACAGCAAGCTAAGGAGCACAAAATATGGGAATTTTCGTGCAACTTACAGAGAACGGTCAGCAAAGACTTGAAGACATAGTTCACCAAGCAATAACCAGATAGGTATTTCTATGAATGGAAAGAATATTTGAGTTGAGTTCCTAACTATGTTTCAGTAATATAAGCTAACTAAAAGTGTTTAGTTACTTATATTGTGAAAATAAATGCAATAGTATTTGTGGTGGTAGTTATATTATTCTATATTGTACTAATCTGCGAATTTATGTAGCGCACTGCAATGTCATTGATACAAGAATTAATATCTTAAGTATAAATTTAAATAAAAGTATTAAAATCGGTCGCAATTATTTATTCCACAAGATTAAGAACATCAACAAATCTCTTAGAAATTACAATAACGAAGATCTAATTGTAGAACAGCGTGTAAAGCTGCGGGTCCATAAAACTATGTACAATATTAAGCTCTTTGGCCTGTACAAAACGAACGTTGCATAAAACAATATTAAAAAAACAAACATAAGTCTAGGTAACGAAATTAAAATACTTTAAAATTTTAACGACAATTTAGCGCGATTATAATTTGTATCACCACTGTGGAAATTGTTCTTGTTCAAGTCATTATTATTTCACAGTTAGTCAGAAGTTTTTTCTAAAAACAACAACCTATGGACATTTTGATCCCTACTGCCCACAGACATTATCCACAGTGACTCAATAATGTTAAAATACAGGCGTCTTGCAGTGAAAGAAATTAGGAATAATGTAATTTTTGCTATGCTTCTATTTCATAAAACATTTGTTTAATTTAATAAAAATAATTATAACTTTATTTAAAAAGTAAATGCAATATTAATGTAGAGCTAGTGATTTCAACACATCTAAAATTCATGAATTACATCTAATAAATAATCAGCGCGTCATAGATCAAGAGAAATTCTCCCCTTTATCTATAACCTGATAGATATAAAGCGTACTACCTAAAGTAGGCACAGAAGGGTTCAGTACATTTGGCTTAACTCGGGAAAATCTTAAGAATATCACATTAACCATTACAATGATCTAGTCTAGGTGAGTTTCTGGATGCATTTAATTTTAATTCGCTAAAGATATATTCTCTCGTTTCCTAAATATTCGTAGAAAACAAACAAAATACATTCGTAAGAGTCATAATAAATGGAATGTTTCGTCTTGAATCTTTTGATAGTTTGAAATGATATCATTTAAACGTGAGGGAATGTAGGGGTTGACCAGTAAAAAAAACCCAAATCATTTATTATGTAAGAAAAGGGGGGGATAAAGCGATTTCGTGACAATTACACTATTCTACTATTTTAGCATTGAGCTGAGATCTTGTATACTATATTAATAATTTAACTACTTACTAATATAAATTAAGAAATACTATTTCTAACATTTATCATTGCGTATTTATACACTTATTCCAATTTAAGTATTTATTGGATGTGATACTAAAATGTTAACACTATCTAAATTAATGTGAAGTTTCAGTTTGAAAAATTGTGACCATATTGACATTAATTTGTGATGAAAGGAGACTATATATTACTTGTTAACTACCAAAATTTATTCTACTACATTATGATTACGCGCACAATATTGTGTTAAGACTTGCTTTTTAGATATCGGCTAAGAAAATGTCAAAACTGAAGTAGTATTAGCAAATTGGATACAGTATTAAATTAAATAGAATTTGTATAAACCCACCAAAAAGTATAAAAGATTTAAATGGACTGAAGTGGAAGTACCGTGTTGAGTTATGCACTTTCAATATGAAGAGTAATTTCATAAATGTATATATTATATTTCATTACATAACTCTACAAATTGCATCAACTATCTAAAAACTCACTACAAATGTTTACATCTAAAATTCGTTACAAAAAACTACGATTTGATAAAGTTTGTGTTTCGACTGTGAAGAGAAAGCACCGAAATAAAATATAATAATTGGAGACATCATATACAATATCAAGTACAAGAAATCCTATAAAAAGTTGTAAACATATTATTTGTCGAAAGTGCCAAAGTCAATTAAAATTAGCACTGGATACTTCGGAATGGTAACTACGGTACAAAAAATCTATGTGCCAATGATATTTTACACATCAATAGATACTTGATAACAGACATTTTACAAATTGCAATCTCTCTCGCGTCTCGCATCTCCCAAATAAGAATATACAACATTATTTACAAAGAAATTTATACAATGCTCCCACATTTCCCGTTCGTCAGAGACAAGTTGGGACCGAGGGACGGTCGTCCTAACGTGGCGAAGCCACCGACTGCCATGTCGAAGCCATTATTAACGAACTGGTTATTCTGCAGTCCGAGTAGGATATCCACGAGGGCGTTGGCAGCACTCTGTGCATTAAGCAATTCGAATATGATACAATTACATTCCATTTCCGGCGTTTTGGTGCTTTTCGCGCTGGAGCTGGAACTGGTGGAGGTGTTCCCTGAAGTGTGGGGGGGAGATGGGTGCATGGGGCAGGCCAGCTGCAGGTTCTTGGGGTACTGTGGGGGAATTCCTGAAAGGTGATTGGCTGCGGCGCGAGCGTAGAACACGCACGTGTGTCCGTCCGCGTCCGGGAAGTTGGGGTTGCCGTTGTGCTGTTAATAAACAATATTTATAAGCATTTAGACAAAAATATATTCTACTGCCTTAAATATCTTAAAATGCTTCTCAAATAGTGTCAAGTGTCGGACATTTAAATTAACACATTAAAACACATGTGAGCTAATATAACATACATCTTTTTTTGGATCTAACAAAAGAACTAATAACATTTATTAATAAGTGATCTCTTTTTAAAAAAATAGGCACTGGACGGTACTGGGGCTATAAGTAGTGAGTTCGGTGATAACCTTATAATTCAAAACTTAACAGTTACCCATATTAGTAGTTGAGCAGCGGAGAGATGTCCCGCTGCGGCGGCTGCTCGGAGTGCCAACGCGCGTTCAGTGGGCGAAGGCGCCCGAGGCGGGGGCGCGGCCAGCAAACGAGCGATTGTTGCGATACCACCCCGGGCCGCAGCACCCTTGAGCGCCTCGCCAACAGAAGACGCACCGTTCGTCTCCGTACTCGACAGGAACGCTCGGCGCTCGTACTTCATTCTTATCCATCTGGAAACATTTTAATTTTGACTTAGCAAAGAGTCGCGACCGCGTATCAAATGGGTGTTCACACCTAAGTCATTTTAATTTGTTCATGTTCCTCAAAGGGCCCATGAGCACGAAGCGGTTTACCGTTATCAAAATATGACCTATACCAAATATCAAAATATGTTTATTAGCGGTCATGTAGCTCCCGTATGTATAGCAGCGTATTGCAGACAAGATAGTTTTACCATACAAAAAATGCTTTCTTCTATAACATTGAATTTTTTATTATTTTGTATGACACCATCGTTGTTCAATGGTTAATCACATTGCCTTAAGCCAAGGCACTAAAATACCAGAAAAAAATAAATAGTCATAGAAGAAGTGTAATGAACTACTTGTCTGTAAATCAATCGATCAGTGAAATAGATAAAACATTCGTCCGGCCCTTGTCGGAGGAAACGGAATTTATGTTTTAGACACTATGCATATGTTTTATTTTATTCAAAACATATTTAGTCGAGATTACAACGAAAAGTTCCTTACCGTTCTTTGTCCTCCCTACTGCTAGCGGATATAGGCTTGATATGACCCCGCAAATCAGCTTCCCATATCGAATTGGCTAACGTGTTTCCCATCGACACCATTACACTAACGTGGCCCAGTCTAGAATAAAGCGTAATATTAAGAAATGTGTAAAAACTATCGTCTTAAGTGTAAAACGCGATTACTTGAGTAATATGTTAATATTTTTTATTATAAGAAATTATAAACTGCGGCACATCGTTTTGTAGGTTTTAGAAGATTTGTCACGTGTTTTTTATATAATCATCCTCTCTCTCTCTATACATAGTATTATATGTTTATAGAAATGTAAAAGTATTGCTACCTATTGCAATATATTATGTAAAATAAAATATATTGAAGATTTTTGACAACACAGGTTAACTTCCTCGTGTTTTTGGAATTTCATTTATAGTTAAAAGCAAATACTTACGGCCATTCATCTAAATCGAGCGATCGGACCCTGGATATATGCGATCCTAGATTCCTGTGTATCCCTGAGCATTCGATACATATTAACACGCCTAGATTCAAACTAGCCCAATCGGGATCTGCAAATTTAATGGCATAGATTAATTAACTATTATTAAATTCAGATTATTTGTAAAAATCGATTTTAGATTGAAAATATTTTACTACACGTGCTGAACTTGAAACGGCATTAACAGCGTTCCCAGCTGTTGCTTTGAGCTAACGTGTTTTATACCTTATCGTCGAATTTTTGCAATCTATTGATACTTGCACCTCTCGCTCGTTTTAATTAGTACTAACCTTAACACGTGCTAATTAAGGTACAATGTCTTATGCTTTGGAGCTTAAGAAAATCATTGAAAATATATATATTTTTTCATTTCTTTAATTTTTTCACATGTTATTGAACATGATAGAAATATATGTATTAAAAATCGATTTTAGATTGTTATTGTCAGATTTTTATTGTCAAATACAAGGAATAGATTTTTAGTGTCCCGATCGAAAAATACACTCCACTATATTTAAAAAAACTTGCCTAATAAAAACATATCATACGTTCCTAGTATCTTAATTAGTTTTCTATGATTAGTAACTCTAAACATTTCATACCTCCCGCGCCACAATCACAGCACTTGTCGTTTCCTTTCACTCGTCTAATGTAGTATGTCGCTCGAACATCGCCGGTGGAGTTGGCACCAGTTGGCGCTGGCTGTCTAGACGTCTGTAAATTTAAATTAATTTCATTAAAATATATTGCTGAAACTTTTCAATGACTAAGAAATAGTATAAATTTCCAAAGTATGTGTAAAGTAATATTAGAAAATTAGATAAATAATTAAGTAAACGGGATTAATAAACTTTATTACTTAATATATGACGGACTCATTGGTCTAATGGTAGTAATATATGTATATACTAGTAATCGAGGTTTATTGAGTGGAAGGAATATCGATATTCCGTACGACAACGAACAGACGTCGCCTTAGTTTATTCGCGTCGCGGTCTATGGATTCTGGATATGCGAAGCCAAAAATAGGTGGACAGCGAGTCTGATTGAGATGTAATATACATAGTAATTTACCACGAGTGACGTCTACTCCACGTTTGAATGTCCTCCCCAGTATCATAAAAATAAATATGATGTTAAGAAATTAACTGTTGTGACAAGCAAGTGAGGTTAAACTGACCCGTCCCTGAAGCGAAGCGAGTATCTGTGCTTCTACAGCACAAACCCAGGCATCCCTCTCAGCGGCTGCGGCAGCTGGACTGCTGCCACTGCAGACTTCCCACCGCCACCGTTTGCCGTCCAGACTGACAATCGTGAACTCACATGACGTTGCACTCTCACCCTCTGTAATAGCAGATACGAGTTCTTAACTTATCGAGTTAATAATAGCTCAATAAAATAGTTTGGATTTAAATCCTAGAGATAAGTTATGCGACAGGCATGAAATAAAAGTGATGGTTTAAAGAGTAGATGTTTACTATGGGCCAAACTAGCTACTAATTAATTTAAAAAAAAATTAAAATACAGGTTGATAGATTTTATTTAATTCAATTGATTAATGACCCATGAGTTCAGAGTCGCTTGTCCTGTCTTCTTTGTGAGAGTTTAAGAGCTCAAATCACAGTACTATATTTAACACAAAGCAAAAATTTTTACATAGAAAAACATGAATAGTATATACTATATTTGATTACCTTCTTCACCATCTTTTTTAACGCCACTGCTTTTCATTCTTCTGTGTCGCTTCTTAACGTGGGGCGTATCCTTATCTCCTCCATTTGTCGCTACATCTATTTCTGAGGCCAACGATTGTCGACTAGATGCTGGTTCTTTCATTGCTTCAAAGGCAGACATGAGAGCTTTATCTGTGGCACGAGTGGGTTTCTCTTTGTAGCCTACCAAGAGAAGAGTTACAGATAGTATTATCATCTATATTTAAGTAGTTACACCATTTATCGAGGAAAGTTTAAGTTTATATAAGCATGCTGCAACCAATAAGAGAGAAGAGATAGTAAAAATGTGAAAACAACGGGTACATTACTGTTTAAATTATCTAATAAAAAAATCTGCAACATTACGAAAGAACCGTTTTTATGCCAATAAAATTTTATTCAAAGTGAGCATAATATGTATCTTGCAAACAACAAAACAATGTTTGCTGGATCAGACTATATTTGAAAATATAGACCTAGAAATATAGGAGTAGCAGGGTTTTAGTACTAATAAAAACAAAATAGTCATGTTGGGATTTTATGATATTGTTTTTTTTATTGTGAATGGAAAATCCACTACCCTTTAGATATATTAAATAAAACTCACCAAGTGATAACCCTCCAATACTGTCATGTATATCAAAACTTGTATATCCATTATAACCAGGCACTGTTGTGATTATCGATTTAGAGCCTCGAGGTTTTTGACCTGGTACTTTGACAGTCACATACTGTAAGGCTATCTCCTTGCCATTTACATCTTCCATATAATCCTACAAAATATAGAACTGGACTTTAAAAATCGTCATACCACACCTACTTATGGCAGATAAAAGATACAATAGTCAATAATGACCTTGAACTTATGTCGTTAAACCAGTTTTGATCACAATGCAAAGATATTTTAATGTGTATCAGACGACAAAATCAATGTTTCATAGTTTCTTAAGCATGTCACTACTTACATGTAAACTTGGGTGATATGTCAACCTTCCATCATCACATAAGGTTACATACTTTTTCTTCCATTCCTTATTTAAGGCTTTGCTGCTCTTCTTATACAAGTAACCCTGTTTCAAAGGTATTGCTCGCCCAGACCCTAGCTCTCCATTTTTGAGTCGATCATCACCTTTTTTTAGATGGTGTAAATAGATTTGATCGTCGACGCGATTTCCTAGATGTGGTTGGAGTAGAAGATGGTGTAGGTAGATCTTTAGAATCTTTAGACGGCTGAAGATTGTCCAAACATTGTTGTGTTGTATATTTAACATTATTATTTTCTGTTGCTATGGAAACCAGGCCAGATGATGATCCATGGCTACCTAAAGAATTGCCCCATCTTGATGACGTATCTGATCCATTTGTGCTGTGTATTTCAACAACATGAGTTGAGGATATTCCACTACTATTTGAAGATGCATCAAAAGATGATGCTCCTCTATGTAAGTGATGTGATGAAGCTGATAGTGTGTGATGACTTCGAGGTAGGGAGTCCTGTAAAAGGGCCATAATCAAAGTAGCTGATAAATTTTTCAAAGTAAATCATTCATAAATGATTTCATACTATATCTAACTATTACTCAATAATATTTCAACAAATTGTAATGATAGAAGTGTTTAAACTTTTATAATTCTTCTTTATATTATTCTCTGATTAAATCAAATTACTAATTACATAAATGTGTTGCACTTTATGAACATGCACACATACATTATCTCTAAGTTATTGCATAAAAATATTTTTTTCTAATCTGAAATTTTCCTACATATGGGTAGATAATTTTGAACAAGGCACAGGGAAAAAATATGACCCAATCTATTGTTTTATCACACTGAAGTATCATATCAATGATTGATAGACATTTTTATCAAAGTATAATCATTTCCTAAAACATATTCTTAGATTTGATAGAAATGACAAAAAAATCTGGGATACCTGGGGAACCATAAAGGATTTTTTAATAAGTAATAATAGGTCTCTTGGTTAACTAAATCTTGTAACAAAGCAATCAAACAAATACCTCTACACTAAAGGCACACAAGCCATCAATTATTGATTTTCATCAAGGCCACAAGTTGATGGAGCGTGAACATAATAATTTAGCTTAAATTACCTTATAAAGAAATGTGGAATGGTTATGGCTTGGTGAGTTCGCCAGCGGCTGTGGAGTAACCGGCCTCGAACCAGACAAACATTGGGACGATGCTGACAATCTTGTGCCGACGATTTTTTGACATGCTGAAATAATACGACAAGTAAAGGTAACACATTGATGCACACTGCACAAGACAACTCAATAACATTAATTCACAACACGAAAGCGCGAACGGTAAAAACTAAAAACAACACGCACATTCAAATTTAGAAGACTTGCGACGATCGCGTTCTTCAGCTCTTTGTATGTTGTAGCACGAACTCCTACGCCTCAAACTCGATATTGGCGACATATTCGACTTGAAAATAAGCGTTTTATCCATATTTCCATTTATGTTTACAGTATTTTCTAAAACTAGCCACCGTAACGTACGTAAATCGTATCACCGGCTAACAACAGCTGTCAAAAATGTAAACAATGCGGAACGAATGACACGACCGCTTCGCGTACGGTTCGGTGCCGGTGTTGCCAGTTTCGCGTTACCTACATTACCACACACGAAGATAAAACTCCCAATTTTTGTAATACAGTATTTGATTTACGTAATGTACTTAAACTCCGCAATAATTTTATGTTTTTTAAGTTAGATGATTTAGCGCGTATATATTAAAAAGTGACTAAAACAAATAAATTAACGAATGTTTTTTATTTCGCGGTTTAAACAGTTAAAAGTGATTTCATTATCATATCTATTTTTTTGATGTTTAAAGTGCTTATCAGTTAGTCAATTCAAGAGAAAATCTTACCATCTTGAAAAACACGATCGACGTTCAACCCATACGTTGCACAGGTCTCATAGTAAGAACACCTTCGGAGTTCATTAGATAACTTGCGAGCACGATTATCATCGACAACGCGCGGACTGCTTTCACTTATGGCATCTGGAAGAGCGGCTGTTTTATTAGACAGGAAATTACATATGGAAACTATAGAACGCAATCACAATGGGATGCAAACTTTGTATTACATAACATGCGTATTGCAAACTATTATGTGCAAATATCTCACAATAATAAAAAGATAAAAAAGAGTTGTTAACCTTGGGTTCCTACTAATATAATTGGTATTTCAGCTGAGTTTCGATAGTGCGACATCTTGTTGAAATAGTTGGAAATTGTATTATAACTAACTTCGTTCTCCAAACTAAATACAAAGATAACAGCATCCACCCAAGCAGTGAACTGAAACAATATAAAAAATACTATTTTAATTTTGTATGAAAGTTATATATTTTGCGTTCTCGATACAGAATTAAATGCAAGATACTGTAAAATTTTATGCGAGAGTTTCTATTCCTATCTTATGAAATATTACGCTTTCAGGTAAATAGGTCATAGAGAGGTAAGAATTGAGCGAAAAAAAGTCTATATCTTAATTAACTTGTCTGAAAACCCTCTCCCTTGGTTTCACCCATAGCAGCATAGGGTCAATTTACCACCGTGATAAGGGGTTGAACTAAAAGGGTTTCGTCTGCATGTAACATATAGTCCATACCACATATGAGTTTAATATAACATGTACATACACATTCTATGTACAACACAATGTCTATTAGTTGCACGTCTATAATTAGTAGTACATCTTGATACGCAAAAAAAAAAAATTTACAATGTTGTATCTTTACTTGTTTTGTATGATAAAAAGAAAAATGACAAACAATACAAAAATATTCCTTCACAAAATAACATTGTAAAATGCTATAATTTTTAAATTTTTACACTGTGTGTTATGACTAGAAATATGTATCTATCAACACAAACATATCACTCGTACTATAGCTAATTTAATAACTATGCTCTCGAAAATGTTATGAAATCTTGCTTTTTTTAATACTAGGTACAACTTACAATATCAGAATATTCACTTGTGATGTTGATCCCTTATTATTATTTTTTTCTTTTATATAACACAAACCTTTCTTTTTTCAAAACACAAAATATTTTGAGGACGATAACTGTGTGATCGAGGTTATATTCAGGAGGCAACTGGGCGGGCGGGCGGTTAGATTGGAACCTTGTCAGAATAACCTCAATGCCTGCTATCCTGCTCTTACTACAGGAACGGGAGTATATGAAAAGGACAGCTTAAAATAGATGCACTACCGCCCAAGCCTTGCAATTTATACAACAAGTACCTACTTACGTAAGTAAGAGGTATTTCTTCGTATAATAGCAATATTCAGTCATTATATTTCTAAGATTAAAATTTAAATTCAAAATTTCTATCGTTACACTTTGCTATCTTTCCAGGACAAAGAGATAGTGAGTTCTATGTCCTGCGGTAGCAGGACATAATGTTGCAAAGATAACGCGTTACATCCTGTATAATAAATTACACCAAGACAATATTTTACCAAAAGTGAACATAAAGACTAATTTAGTAGTTACAAGTAGTGCAGATGATGTGAATTTCTTACATTTTACGCGTTAGGCGTGACCTACAGTGGACCGGTTTTTATTATAAATAAGAACAATTAAAAACAGGTTTTCTGTCCTTGAATCTAAAGTAATTTAAAACTAGTCAACAAAGATACTAAAACTATGACAAAAATGAAAGTATTAGCAGAAAGTTATTATGAGCAAAAATTTTAAAGTTTAAAGTGTCTAATTAAATAATTATGGTTTACTTATACAACTATTTATTTTTTGTCATGACTAATTATACTATCCATAAATGATTAAACCATATGGTATATGAGACTCTGTAGTATCCCTATTCAAACAAACTTAACATGTCGTACTTCGTTTTGGAAAACCCCTCATAGCGTTCACGTGCCGACTCTTCGGCGCCTATAAAACAATAGTACTTACAACCCCCTTTTTAAAATCTTTGTTAGAAACATTAAAACGTGTAGGGACATTTTGTTTAAGTTGATGGAAGGGGGAGCTATTTCGCTCTTGTCTCAACTAAAAATCGATAATATAGTCGTGTTCACAATTCATTGTCACTTGTCAACAGTCTCCTGTTGAAAACTGCGTAGGTGTTCTCAACTAGAATACATTGATAAATCAAGAGCGAATTGTTATATTCATGATATAAAAATACAAACTTCGCTTATTTGAACTAAGAGTAAACCTTTTCTGTAGTTGTAAATCCACGTCTATCAGCTAAATTTTTTAATATATTATTTATGTTAAAATGCAATCTTTTCGAATCAAAAAGTTCGTTACCGACATAATCCTTCCTAACTTATGAGTGTTCCTGTGCTTATGACATAATTTCGTATCCCCAACTGTTATTTAGATTAACGTTAACACGGAAATCCTATTACATTGCAAAACGTGACATCAACGCCTACATAATACCTATATACTAGTACTGTGTGTACGACTTACTACATGCAGTTGAGCAGAATTAAAGATTTTTTGTAAGAAAATCTATTTTGATCGTAATGAAAACTTCATATTTTCTTAAAATACCTCTGTACTTGACGACCCTTTTCATTATGAAAGCCACCCTCAACCCTTTTGACATTTCAAGCAAGTATGAAGTGTCTACGAATAGGTAGAATGTTATGATAATATTTTTTAATAACTATCTTCGTAATTAAATTCAGAATGAAATACTTAAAAGAAGAAAAAATACCTATTATGAATTTCACCATAATAGGTATTTTCCCGCAACACAAAATGAGATTAACTATTTGTCATATTCAAAAGTATATAGATTGAATTTCGCTAAAAATAAACATAATGCTGCAATTTCGTACAAAATTACGAATATCGATAAGCAACGTCGAAGAAGCAATTCTATTCGAAAATTTACTCATGATTAAAAACAATGATAAGAGTTTATCATGTCAAAAAAAAATGGCATATTATGAAACTAAAATAATTAAAAATAACATTTGAGCTCGTTACATCATTTAAATAAATCCCCATAATTTTTTAATGTGGATGAAATGTATGAGCAAAAGTATACTCACTTGCATTTCCGGAGGCCCACCTTCATCTCTTATCAGTAAAAGATAACTATGTCCGTCGATGATAACTTCCTTCTTGAACCTACCACCTAAAATAAATATGCATTAAAGTGTGATTATTAATGATATTAAATAAATATGACATGGGCATTCCTACTAATTGAAATATTATTAACTAAAAGCTACCTAAATAGATGCAAAATTAAGCATCTGGCAACACTATTCTTCGTTATTATGCAAATATATGTAGCGACACCTAGTAACTGTTATAGATAAATTAGGTTAGAGAAAGCGCCACCTTTCGGTCTGTATGAAACTAAAACACAGCTAACATTATATAGTAACGTTTAATAGTTACAGATGGCGCTAAAAGTTAGAATAAGCTAAATATAATAAAAATTCTAACCTTCTGGACTTTCCTCTTGCATATAAGCACCAGTGAGATACCTATGTACTAGTGCTGATTTACCACTATCTGGCGAACCAAGAACACCCACTCGCAGTTCTGTTACACCACGCGCTGACGTCCATTCTTGGCTGTTCACGAATGAATCTGCAAGGAAAATATTTTTAATTAAGATGCATATTTTTTATTACTGATTATTGTTATACTAATAAGATTTTTGTTTCAATGATCATTGTTAAATAGCTAATAAAAGCAGTTCGGTTTAAGGCCGTTTTAAAAGAAATTAAACATATATTAACAGTTTAAACGTAAAAAAAATATATATTTGTAAATTCATTTTCCATCAACTACCTGGAAGTAACGAGTTACGTAGCAGAGAGAAGTACGTAGCAGGATGTATTTTATTATTAGAGCCTCCAACCATTTTTAAGGCTCCGATTACGGCTGGTGCAAATCATTCGGAATGTCGGGTCATAGTTAAAAGTATATAACTAATAATAGTTCACGTTTTAAACCTACGCCTGGTATTACGAGGATTTTAAACTCTACATTATTATTAATGAGTTCAAAACTAAGCATGTATGAACGGGGTTTGATAGATTTCCATATGAACGCATGGAAAGTTCGATTAAACTTCTAATGCGAAAATAATAGCGTGCATGTACTTTAGATAATCTCCGTTCCTAGTATAGAGAATACTTCGATGTTAAAAATGAGCAACATTAGCGTACAACTAAACTGTGATTTTTTTCGCTGGCACAAAGTGAAACGCTATGACTTTCAGAATGACAATCGAAAGGTAAACTTTGTAATAAAAACAGGCTCACACTTTATTCCGTACAAGGAAATAAAACTCAGGCGTGGCACTTTCTATCGAGACTCGAGAAAAACTAGACAGTTACGTATTATACCTACTGTTTGATGATTTGCGCAAGACCTTGCGCTTAGCCACGGGCTACACAAAACTGTAGTGAATGATAGACAATTAATTATCTTGTATGTAATCTTACTTTGATGAACTCTTCGGTCTACTGGTATCAATAGATCTCCATCCAATAATATTGAAATATCGTATAGCTTACAGCTGCACGAATAATTCCATTTCCAAAATGAGTTTCGATAAACTGTGCGTTACTTAAATATCAAAAGTCGACAACGCATCTTAAAGAGATGTAGAAGCGGCATATGTTCCCATGCCGCTTCTACATTCCATAAAGTTTCACATAATGAATACAAAAAAGAAGACGAAAAGAAGACAGAAGATTAAAACCGAAGACTTTCTATATCGTGTGAGACTTTTTATTAAAGGAGCATAACAACTAAAGCGATTTTAGGACACGAATTCATGAACTGCAGAAAAAACTAATAAGAAATATTAATATAGTAATTTTTTACTGTTACTTAAGTAATGTTTGTAGTTAACGCGAGTAGTACACATTAAAATAAAGCACAAACGTTTAAAATTTGAAATCTATTAGTTAACTTATTTTAACTACAGCCCGTGGTTTCGGATGCTTTACAGTTACCGTAGTCACGGGGGCTGAAGATAGTGTCAAAGTCGCTATAAGCTACACAAAATATAGCTCAGTTCGATCGATTTCAAATCGTAACTCAAGTGTTTAACATTTAACAAGACAAGCGCGTACAATAAATCAATGCAGAACTTGTTCCGTCAACAAGCCGTTGGGGTCCACCAGACCCCTACTTTAACCTAAATACGATCAAACACTCATTTCACACATTTACGACGCTATAAACTCCCGTGGCGTACCTAATAGGCGGGTTAATTTCGGCTTATGAATTCGTAATTCTCAATAAACGTTTCGTATACTCAAAGTTCTATTGAAGTAGGGTTAATAATTCCCAAACAAATCATTATGAAACGCGCACGCATTTATTGCTTGGACAGTAAAAATTATGGTTACTAAATATTTCGCTTAACACTGAAGTCTGATCAACTACTTGTCTGTTAAAGAACGGATCTGTGAAACGGACACTAAAATGTGTTTGCCCCATGCTCTACGAAGGGGAAACGGGATTTCACTTTTTTATATAATTAATCATAATTGACAAACGCTTTGATGAAGTTATCATTTATAAATTATTTATTATTTACTGATAATATCATATTTCCACGATTTTATTTTAAAAATAACAAAGTTGTAGTTTATTATTATGAAGCCACGCTACTTGCCAATAGCTAATGAACCCCTATACTAAGTTGCAGTTCCTTGCATTTCTATTTATAGAACGGGTTTCCTCTCATTACTTAACGAACATTTGGCATGAAATTAGCTTTGCCATACAATTACTAAATACTTCGGTATATACTGTCTGTAGTTTACGCTACTAGTACAGATTTAGTCAAATAAAAACTTTAACTGTTTAAAACGCGATGTATATTAGTTAACTTGTGTGATTGTTTTTTAACTACGGCCCGAAATTTCAGATGCTTTGCAGCAACCGTAATCTCCCCGTGACCATAATAATTATCAAAGAAGTTTAACATTAATAATATATATCCCGTTTTAGACCGTTAAAGTGTTTTATTTAAATAATTGTGTGAAGGCTTTCACGGCCATCATTCAGCATATCATTGTCTTTCGGGCTGTTACCGACGATTTTAAGTAATTATTCGAACCCCCCCCCATTCTAATTAATTTTATTTATTTTATTTACATCAAACGCTATAGATTTTACAGACGACATTTCGTCCTAGGAACTGAATACAAAGTTTAAAATTCTATGAGGAAGCACATGTTTTTGCATTACCCCTACGGTACATAAATTTTAATTAGATCGTCTTATCGGAAGATCTCATAATCATTGCAGTAAGTAATAATTTATTTAAATAAAACTTTAAACGTGATTTCAATTATTCGCATTCGAGAGTTTCCTTATCCTCATTATTATAAGCGTTTAGTTTTTCTTTTGCAACCTCAAATAATCATAAGTATGGTTTCTTTGCTGGCATTGAACACAAATAGGATTAATTTCGTTTGGTGAGGCCGTATTTTGGAAGGTCACAGGCAACCGCCGTGACAAGGTTGAACTATTGTTTGTAAACATAAGCTGTGGCAGATGATGCAAAACGAAGGAGATCTCAGTGACACAGATATGAGGTCAGCCGTGCAATTCTATTTAATAAACATAATCGATTACTACACCATAGAATTAATGTGAAACTAAAGAACTTCAGAAACCATTAGTCTCTCAAATGGAAAACTAGCAAAATAATTTTCTAAATAGGTACTACTTGGCCTATTTTTATAAAACACTTTCAACGGTTTAAAACGCGTTGTAACTACGGCCTGACGTTTCGGATGCTGCAAAGCATATTTTTATAAAATTCACGTTTTACTATCAAATTGTTATATTTAAATATTTCAGGTAAGTGTTTTATTAAATTACCCTTTATTTTTTAGTATTGGCGGAATAAAGGTTTGCAATTGACTAAAAACCCAGGATAACTGAAATTTGTCGCAACGCATTTGTTGCTATGGTGTTACTTACATGTCCCAAGATAAAAAACGCTCGCCTAATAAAGATTCTAAATAAAGTTAATTAATTACTTAGAATCGTATATAGCTTTATTTTATCTTAACTTAATTACAAAGTTGCGGTTCATTACTTCCCTTTGTTGTACAGAATCGAGACAGATTAAAATAGAGTTCAAACCACGAGTAGACCGGCAGTAAATTAAATAATACAAGACATCTTCAAACTACAAATAATGTTATTCATGTTCATAAATCGGATTTGCCTTTTCAAATTGATCGGGAGCGTGTGACGTGAATAGCATTTAAAATAGAGCATGAGACATCTGCCTCCTACTCAATACAATTTAGAAAAAAATCACAAACCAATTGATAGCGGAACTTTTGTGTACCGCTTTGACTTCTATTTTCAAATTAACACTTTATCTTCTTGGTGCTGCTCCAGTACGGTATCCAACTTAACATTAAATGTTTAAAGTTTACACTACACACTGTGGCCATATTAATGATCTGTATTCTGATATAAATCTAATTATAGTGTATTATGTGTTAGAGCAAAAGCACGGAACACTGTGGATGCCGGTTCAATTATTGCCCGTGTGGTGCATTTTTTGTCTAATCGATTTAATGGTATAGTGAACAAGTTAAAATAAAACACTTTTACACATTTAAACGGTCATGGAGGTAAGGGTACTGTCTACATCCGAAACGCCGGGCCGTAGTTATGTTTTAAACCGTTAAAAGTATTTTATCTAATTGTGTACTATTTGCGTGAACTACAGACACTACTTAGTACACTAAAGATAATATAGCAAAATTATTTTTCAAAAGTTAAAAACAAAACTTTGTCAACACATTTTTATACGATATCATAAGTAAAGACATATTCTTATAATTTTAATTCTTGTAGCACTGTATTGTCAAATTGGAAGAGATCAGTTTCTCTATTACTTGATTAATAACATTTGAAACCAAAATTATAGAAGCCACCCTGTTACATAACCCAACAGGCGGGTGTCATTTGGGGCTTGGAGGCTCTGCGGTCTGACCTACTGAAGCCTTATGACACCGGATCAGGGGCGCGAAATCGGAAAAGGGGTAATGGCCCATTTGCCGCCGCCTTCTAGCTTCCGTTCCTTTATTAGACCACTAAAACGAATAATGGAAAGGAAAATAGCTTACATTAACCCTAACGTTATCTTGCCACGTAAAGGTTATAACCGGCAAAAAAGGTTTTCCTAAAAAGTTGATTGCCTAGTAGTTTTGAACATTTTTTTACGTAAACAAACCGATTTACGTAAATAAAATGTTCAAAAAGATAGAAAATATAAAATTGCGAGAAGGTTGCATTTAGAACAGCCGTTCCGTTTTTAAACCTAATACTTTTCGCGCTAGACACTTTATTATCAAGCTTAGTACTACACAACGATATTAAAAGAGGAATAACTTTTTCAACAATTTCTTTTTAAGGATATCTCGGAAGATGCAGTAACAGTCTTAATCTCAAAACCGAAACTCTCAAGAGCAATAATTTAATTAAAGCGAACAATTGTGAACTGTCTCTTGTACCATGCATCTGCTCTGATTTAGGTACCTGTATAACATCTGCCTTCGAAGCAGAGCGCCTTTTGTGCGATCCCTTTGCGAATA